GGAACTTCGCAAGAAAAGAATCGGGGCCGCGCATCAGAAGGAGAGTAAAGAATACCTCCAACGGTGTTGCCAGACTGTTCGCTTGCTCCGTCCGTGAAGATCAAAACAGGCTTAGGGGCAACCACACAAGGGACTACCCTAGGGGAACCGAAAGAGAGGCGATCAATGAGAAACTCGAAAGCCTCGATCTCGCGGGGACCCAGAACAAACCGGGAGGCGTGGCGTGTGGAAGCGGCTCTCAGCTCCGCCAATGCGAGCTTGCCGGTTCTCCCCATGACTTGCGCATCGGAGAACTGGACACGACCTGCAACCCTGGCAAAAGTACGCATCTTGATGCAACCTTCACTGATGCATTCACGGATGGCATCACACACCTCACTGGATCGGCCTTCCTTGTTCCTAATCCGAATGACCCCTTCCCTGGCTCCTTTCAAGTCAATCTCGACCCCAAGCATGGAAGCGACGTCTGCAAATGGGCTCAGTTTGTCAAGGGATGCGGAAAAACCAAGCACTGAGGACAACACAAGCAAGGTGTCCATGGTGGAACCTGAAAGACAGCACGGGCTCATCACTGGATAATCGTCAACGAAGTTGGCCCAGAACAAGAAGACTTCCAAACCTATCCGCCACAGCAACCTAGACAACCTGTTGAAGTGGAGCACGGACGATGTGCTTCCAAAAGGCAGAGCCTTACCCTCAAACAATCCCAAGTCGCCATTATCCGGATTGAGAAGGGCAACGACGGAGAAGGCACGATGGCTCGGGTTCAACGCAAATTGGCGATAAGCATTCTTCAAATCAAAGGTGCACAGCTCAGGACACCACGACGAACCCGCCCAAGCAGGGTGCACTCGACCAACCAACGGTGGTCCGCTGGCCATGTCCAGAAAGAATTGATGCTCCGTCGTGTGAGCTCGGATCCAAAAGCGACATATTGCAATGATCTCGTCAAGTGCCCTTAGATCTAACTTATCCCCATAAGAAAAAGAACCGTTAACTAAGTTCTCAGAGTAGTCGTCAATCGGTCTCAACTTGCGCTTGCCTCCAGAAGATTGAATCACGGCGAACCGGCGCACAGGGGCCCATGCGTCGCCGTACCTTCTCGTCAGCTCTTCTTCGGTAAGTGGTCCCTCCAAGAACCCTTCGGCAACCTCAGTCAAAGTCTTATCCCACAGTTCAGAGGAATGCTCACTCAAACCCTCGGACAAAACCTTCCCCAAAAGCGCCGGACGGATGTACTTACAGGCCTTAGTAAACTCGTCAGCCGTCCTCTCCTGGGGACGAGGCTCCTTTCTAAAGACACCAGTGGGCTTCTGCCAACCAACCAAACCAAAACCCTTACAAGTATCCTCAAACCATCCATCGTCGGGCCACTTCAAGTCATCAGCAATGCGCTTGAGCAAGAGAAGCCTTTTTGATCCTAACACAGACCTCACACCAGGTTCGAGGCCCTCCTTAAGTCGGGACTCTGGTTCCTCCAATTCCTTGGCCCATTCTAACCACTTGTTGAGAGTGGCCACACGTTGCCTACCAACCCACTCAGGGCCCTTCACCAAGGCCTCATGAAGCTTTCGTTTCACTTCGTCGGGGATGACAGCAAACGTCTCGAAGGGATGCCGTAATCCTTTGGCCTCCTCCAGAAACTCATCCGGTGTTGCATACACACCAACACTAAGTTCGAAGCCACCCGACTCCCCCGTCTCCTCAGTGGCGAGAAGTTTGGAGCCTGCGGGGATGTCACCGATGGCGTGCTGCAAGCAATTTTTATGATCCACAGGCGGAATCTGTGGCACACGACATCTGCAAACGCGACCAAATTCTCTGATGAGGCTCGCACCAAGTTTACCCCGACGCTGCTGTGTGACAGGCGGAGGGCTGGACTGCAGCGGAGACGAAAGGGGGTCAAAGCCACAGTGTTTAGCCACGGCGTGGGCAACCTGCTGACAGAAAAGCCTGGGATGAGTATCAACACCGCCAGTCACAGGCGTGTGACTGTGATTACCATGGCACACTTGTTGTAAACACTTTAGTGCACTACAAGACGTTAGCAGTTGCCTCCGCAAGCGATGCGGAGAATCGAAGGCACACAAATCGTACACAACGGTAGTGGTGTTGGTGAGCTGGCGCACAGCAGGCACATGCCACAGGAAGCTGGAATGCGGATGCTCAATGGACCAGGCGATGCCCATTTGTTGAACTCGTTTTAAGAAGGTGATGACATGTTCCAACAAGGAGTCGGCCAATGCGAGCCTTTGAACCTGAGAGGCGTCGGCGCCTCCTACAGGAACGACAGATCCATGGGACAGTCGTCGGAGGCCCTGCTTAGGTCCATAGGTGGCATACGGCAAATCAATGTGCACGTACCGAACATGATAGTTGTCGAGCACATGCGAAAGATACTGCCACGAGCTCGGCAAGGCAAGATCCAGTGAGCACAACTTGGCCAACGGAAGCCGGTGACTTCCCCTATCTATGGGCATGACCTCAAAGCCAATCTGATGAAAGGCTCGGGACAAAGAGCCTGCACGGGCAAACAGCTCGAGCACAATACCAGGCTGGTCAACCGGCTTGGCCTGAACCTGACCAGTAGACACTACGGAATCTGCTACGGGGGCTAAACCCGACTTGGAGGAAGCTAGAGGCGGGGAAGTCACTGGTTGTGCGAGGACGAGTGGTTTTGGAAACTCATCAGTAGCACACCCCCCGGTAACGACCGGCGCTTCATAGCAAACCGGAGGCGACTGTTCGGCATCAAGAATGTCGGCTTGCATCGGGAGCTGAAATTCCAACTCGGTCAGTGTAGCACTATCAGTTTCACTAAGGTGATCAATGGCGGAGACTGAAAAAGCAACTAACACCACTCTATCACCCGACCAATTCCTAGTGGCGTGAGTCAACCGTCGAGCGGTGAAGACGGCATGACTGCCATCCAAGCTGAGTTCGACTCCACTGCGTAGTTCGCCATCAACATCGCACCAAGCTTGGCCGCCTGGTCTCTCAACCCACACCTGTCCCTGATCGAAGTCAGACAGTGCACACACAGCATTGGGCAAAGAAGAATTATGCGCATCCACATGAGGTGTGGTTTGAACGTTGTGAAAGAATGCTAAGCTCGTGAACTTTAAGCTGGGCAGCTGCTGTCGCACAAAGCGCGCGGCCAACTTTGTCACATTCGGGAAGAGCAAGACATTACGTCGCAGCCCAACCTTGACTCTGCAATAGGCACCTGTCGAGAAGGAGACTCCTTGTGATGGGTCACCTCGGACGGAAGCCTCTGTGGGGAGTGATTGGAATATCTCAAGTAAATCAGTGGGGGAAACAAAAACAGCATTGTTCAGCAGGGTCAGAGCTCGATCCTCGACCGAACCCTTGAATTCGTGATCAAGACTTGCGCTACTGATCGACTCAATTTCATCGATGGCCTTGACCTCATCAGCCTGAAGATTGGTTTGAAGTGAGACGCGTGCAATCTTGGGAGCAGGAGCCTGGGCCCCTAGTCACTCGGTATTGCGCTTTGGGCAGTTGGGGTAGAAGTGCCCGGGCTGGTAACAAAAGCAGCAAACGTGAGCACCCCTGAAGCACTTGTTGCCCGTCAATTGCCTAGTGCATTTGCCCCTCTGGGCATCAAAGCAAATGGGCACTCCTTTCGGGGTGTTTGCGTGCCCGTCCTTTAGGTCCTCTGGCATGGTCACCTCGCGGCGCGACGGTTGCTTACCCTTACCAGAACCTTTGCCCCGACCTTTGCCACGGCCATACGGAGTGGGTCTTTCAAAGGGAATCTTAGCGGGAGGAGGCGACGCGAGAGGAGCGAGCAAATGAGACACCTCGGTCAAATCGGCGCAACGCATCCACGCCTCGTCCAATGCACGACCGGTCTCCGTGACTTGCACTCCACTGCGACACTCATTAGCAGCGGTGACAAACAATTGCTTATCGGCTTGAAGCAGCTGCTGTATGCTGACTCGAGTGTATCCCGAAGGCACCTCACGATATCTGGAGTGCAACAGGCGCTCAGCCCATTTCTCATGTTCTTTGAAACCTAACAATCCGGCCTGTTCCATTGCGAGTCCTCGCCGAGTGAGGGCGAACTTCAGTAACAAGTCAGTGCTCAAGTCGGCCTCACCTCGAATGTCGGCGTTCTTGATGTGAACATTACCGCTATTGTCAACTGTGAGGGTACGATCCTCCTTGTCCCGGGAATTCCGAGTCTCATCGTCCTTGCTCATGCACCAACTCAGCGGAAGATATGTAAGGCGATTGTTTTCATACATTTGACAACACTTGTCCACTGACCTGTCACTCGGTTCATTAGGCCCGGCGATAGTCAAGCCTGGATACCGCAGCACTTGACGAGCCAGACGATCTGCTCGGTCAGGAGCGGCAAGGCTCCTCGCTGGTGCATCGGTGGTGCGCTCAACCTGAGATTTAAGCTCGGCCGCGACCAAAGCAAAGGCCTCAGAGTGCAATCGGCGCAACACCGAAAGCTCCCCCACGGTAGCATCCCTCTTCAACAAGTCCTTTATGGAAGTCACAAAAGGACCCTCATCGCTCTGACCCGGAATGAAGCTGCTCACATACGCAAATTTGGCAAGAGTGTTGACGCCACCATCGACAAGCAGCTGAAGCACCTCAGCTTTCAAGCCGAGTTTCGCAGCCCGGGAGCTAAAATTGGCCTCACTCTCAGTAATACTCATGGTTCCAGCTTGAGCCGACCTGACTCTCGCGAACCCATGCGGTCCCCATCGTTGTTGATCACAACGATTTGCAAACAACTCTCTACCGACACTCACACATCGCAACGTCGCTCAAGAATTGTTTCGCCTCCAACTCGTGTCGCGTCACCTTCAAAATCGCGATGCCACTGACATCCCAACACCGTGACACGCAGGGCCCATGGGCACACCGCACCGATGTGAAGTGTACAATCCTTGGCGCTGGCACGGTACACTGTTGCAACAACATGTGGACAAAACGCACGGGGCCGACACGGCACACCGTGATCACGCCAGGACCGTCCCTTTCACATCATCAATGTTCTGTCGTGGCGGGGTCTCGCTGACACACCGTTGACCCGACATGTGATACGACTCGGGGCAAAATGCACACCGGTGACATTCTGACGCGGGGATAGCACACCGGCCATCGACCTCGGTCGGGGCCGCAACGGCACACCGTCCTCAGTATCCCTCTATGTCACGCTCGCCAAACACAAATCTCAGCTCTGATCCCCTCTAACCTGCTCTCCAACAAGCAGGCTCGACACTGGAATCTGTTTTGACAGAGTTGAAGCACCTGGCACACACAGGGTACAGAAACGATGGAACAGCTGCCACCTTCTCGTAGTTCTTCGTGCATGTCCTGCCGCAAGATAGAGAAGTTCCGCCCTCGTCGGCAATCAAGTGCAGCATGCGTGAAGACCGATTGCGAACCAAGTGCTCTGCCTTCAACTCGCGCTTAGGCACTTCCTCACACCAATCATCCACGACCCCGTCCAGCGCTCGCTCGAGCTCCTGACAATCGGTCTCGGCATCCTCTTCATCAAGAGACGCCTCTGAGGAAGCTTCGTAGTCGTAGCTGGCGTTGGGTCCGCCGTGGGGAAGTACCCGCTCCGGGTACTGTCCGGAACAAAAGTCCCTGACCGAATGGCCGCGAGGACTTTCTCGAGCACCCTGACCGATGCCGATACGGCATCGCGGCTGTAGACTTGGGCGCTGCGGTCGCCCGGAGCCGTGTGATACCCCAACACCCTCTGATCATAGCTGTCGATGCCGAATCTGGCACACCAAGATAGACAAGTCGCTTTACATGAGTGCGTTCCAATAGGGGAACACTGAGCCTCAGAAAATCCGCACTTGCGGAGCACGTTCCTCAACCATCCAGCAGCGACCGAGGCACTCGGAGGGTGACTAGCCCAGTGTCCGGTGGTCAAAATCGCCGGCAGGACGGGCAGCCCCTCTCCAACAGGGACGTTCAATTCCTTTCTCAGTATGGACCACGCCTGGAACCAATCTTCGCCAGAGATACCCTTGCGTGGACACACCATCGGCAGCAGCTGAGTTTTCCTCTCAGTGGTGTAAGATGTCTTGCTGCGTGCGATGTCGGCCTGAAGGTAGCCTCCAAGCCCAGACGGGTCGACCTGCGGCTTGTCCTCGCTGACATTGTACATGTTCTGTGTATCAGAATACCTGGCCCTCATAAAAATCGAGAGCAAGAAGAATCCAGCTATGAACCGATCAATGCGATCCCCATCGGGGGAAACTATAAACCTCTCAAGTCGCTGTACCATCTCAGTCGACAACGGTGGGCGCTGGACCCTCTTCCGCTTTGTCAAGTAGCATGCCCTGGCCACACCACTCAATCTCATGCTAGCCATCGCCTCCTGAGCGCTCTCCGTTCCAAGAATGAAGAAACAAAAGGTCACCGCGCTCAGGAAGCTTTTGAGGAAACTCGGCGAGCATGTATGTTCGCACTCACAAGCAAACTCGTACATGTCAGCCTCCTTGAATGGAAATGCCAAGACTGCATGCCTATCAGCCCATGCCACGTATCGTATGAGCGGATCAGCCCGACTGTGCAGAGTTCCAACTGCCTTACCTGCGAACACATGTCGCAGCGACCTTGACACTTGGACCCCCGCAGGTGCCAGTGACGTGACCTTCCGACCCACATCGAAAGACTGAGGGCTCCTGAGTACAAGAGCAGTCCACTTCCGAACGGCCGCCACCAGTCTCTTCTCGGTCTGGTTCTCCCAAGAAATATCATGACGTACACGAGAGAATCGATGTGCAAAAGAGACAGCCGGCTGTTTGGGAACCGGAACAGAAATGTTGCTGCTCACAGGAATGAGGGGTAGTGGCCCCCTTCCCAAAGGTACACTGAAATCAAGCAAGCTATTTCGAAATTCAGGTGTTTCCCAAGGCATCCTAAAAACCGAGCCCTGAGAAGTTCGCAAACATGTGCTGAGGTGAGCATCGTACCAGCCCGGGCTATCTGATGGTTAATTCACTGAGTGCTGCTTCTTTGCTATCTGTCGCTTGTTTAAGGGTAGCTGGATTTTGCCATGAGCGACATGAACTGCTCAAAAATGTTTGCTTGCGGATTCGCAAGCTGCCGGTGGCTTGGCATGTCGGGATCAAGATTATGGTTCGAGATGTGACCGGAGATGTTGAAAGGATGCCGATTTCGGTGTCGCGATGGGAATTATATAAGACAGACAGCAACTGAATTTGTTTTTTTCGTTTGTGCAACGGAAAGTTTAGTGGCATTTCGAGTGTGTAACATACATATAAACATGTCGTCGCCGACAGAAATGAAATTTGAATTTCGGTGCCTAAAAATGATTACGAGTATATGTTGCCGGCGGGGACATGTGATATACTTTTACATATCCTATATATATATATATGTATATATATATATATATATAGTAAAGTGTGTGTCTCTTGCATCTCTCTCCTGTGTGTGTGTGTGTGTGTGTGTGTGCATGTGGGTCAATGTGCATGCATGTGGGCCAGGGGGCTGCGACTGAACATCGCCCGGCAATCGCACGCCTTTTATATTCAGGGCCCTGGACTTCGCACATGCTGCCTTCGGATCAGGAGCTCCCTGGGGACTCCTAATGTGTTGAAGTGATCGATGCTAATGCATGCAAGAGCAGAAGCACATAGAAGCACTGCAGCATAGATAGGAACCATGGATCCGAGCGCAGCCATGAGCAAACGTGAGCAGAAGACGGCAGAGATAGCCCAGTCGCTGTACAACCGTCTGGACCTCCAGTTTGTTGCGTCGACAGGGAGCCTGTTTCCTACTACGTCGCTACGGCACCGAGCAACTCGAGAGATGCTTTCGTTTATGCGAGTGTTCAAGTACGAGGGTGTGGAACGACTATTGACAGAAGCTATGTCCCGAAGAGTATTGCAGATGCTGCTGGATGACTATGCCTTGCAGTTACCGGAAACTCCAGGAATGTCCAGATCCAAATGGGTCCAGCAATCGGGCAAATGTCTACACATGATGCTTAAGAAAGCTAGAAGGGGCTCCTCTGGTGACGACGCCATGGACGACGATGAGACGCAGATCATGATCCAGGATCCCGACCTGCTGGACCCCTCGGAGGACCGTGGTCCTCATGCGGCCTTGCAACTTTATGGGTGTATGCCTTTGTTCATGCCTGGAGGACTCGCAGTGCTTGAAGCGGAAGGCCTCGAGTTCTGTTAGTGCAGCTTGGATTCAAGTGGACTTCCTTTTGAGATTGTGTCTCAACATGTACATGTGCATCTCAGCTTGGTGGCATCGTGCCGAGCAAGCGACTTCGGGGCAAGACGCCTCCAGTGCCTGTGGCGGCTCTATCATTCTGTGTTCGCTGTCCAACCCGCATGCATGCATGCAGCCAGTATTATATTATGCTGGAATCATATAGTTTCAGTACATGCAAGGAAGACTCTCGATCGTCTGATGATGCGGGCGATTGCCAAGAGGACGGCTCGAATTTTGTAGAGATATGTATATGGTATAATTCCCAAACCTAGTTTCAACACCTTGAACACGGACAGGACGATCAGCTGACCGAGCCGAATGATCTCGAGGCGGAGGCTTCAGCTCGGGTGTTTGTGTCTCTGGTGTCTGTTTATGTGTCCCAGGTCCGTGTACCGGAGGGTCGCTGGTGGTGCAACCAGGACAGTCGCCACGCATACGTGTACACTTGCTGTCTGCGATTATTGCATGCAGGACGGGCAATGGTTTTGCACGCCATGGAATGCCGAGGAAGCCGAGGCCTATCATCGATCCGCAGTTTTGGTGTTCTGAGTGTGGTTGTGAATTTCCAGGAAGTTTCATCGGAGACCCCCGCTGCTGATGACTTCTCATGGCCAACGGAATACTACGAACATGGGGTGCCTGACTTGCAAGAACTCCAGGCCCGCTAGCTTTAAAATTAATCCATTGCCACCATGGACATAAACTTAGTGTCGATGCAGGACGACCAGTTCCACGGCGACGGGGCGAAGACTGGAGAGGCCGATCTGTGCCACGCTGGCTCAGGAGTCGCATGGGTGGGTCGGTCATGTGGGATTTATATCAGGATGAACAGGATGATGAGGAGTACCAGGCCAGTTTGACGGCAGCCTTTGAACTCTCGTACGCAGTCTTGATTGACTTCGCAGGCACCCGAGACTTCGGAAGATGGTGCCAGGGACAAGGTCGGTTTTTTTTCGCAAGTGTCCTCATGCATTCATGTATAGATACATGCGAGGCTTGGAAGCCATCGGATGAATGGGAGAATCACGGCTCTGAAGGACATCGTGAGGTGTGGTTTGGGGTTTCCATTTGCAGCTGTCCTTTGCAGATTCATGGATTGTAGGCTCGGAATCCCTGCACTTGGTGCGGTGAACAGGATGAAGCCCAGGCAGGAATTGGGATGTAAAACTGTTAACTTTAAGTTCGTAGACTGCTGTGCAGGCCCGGGATGATTCCGGTGGAGATGATGTCGAGGTACATATGGGTTCGTGTCGACTAATGGTGTTGTTGTGCATTAATTCTTGTGCAGGCCACAGAAGCCCCATCGGATGAGTGGGCTCGCGATGCTGGAGAAGCTGTCGAGGCATGGGTTGGTTTCGGCAAATAATTGTTGTCCGGCTCGTGGATACAGGCCACGAAAAAGCCGTCGGATGAGTGGGATCTCGATAGTAAAGATGTCGAGGCATGGGTTGGTGTCGGCAGTTTGGTGCTTCGTGTCTGGCTCGTATATATACACGGATTAAATACTTCTGCAGGTCATGAATGAGCCATTGGAAGACTGGGAGGATGGCCCCGGAGAAGATGTCGAGGCATGGGTTCGTGCTAATTGTCAGGCTCCTAGAGTATAATTCTTGGTTAGGCCACGAATGGGCGATCGGACGAGTGGGAGGATCCAGATGGAGAAGAGGTCGAGGCACGGGTTCCTGTCGGCATATCATTGTTGTGCAGGCTTATAGATTCTTGTGTAGGCCACAAAAGCGCCGCCGGATGAGTGGGATTGCGATCACTTTGGAGAAGATGTCGAGGCATGGGTTGGTGTCGGCAAATAATTGTGTTGTTGTCAGGCCCCTAGACTATACTGATTCTTTTGCAGGCCACGGATGAGTGGAAGGATCCCCCTGGAGAAGAGGCAGAGGCATGGGTTGGTGTGGGTAGAGGGGTTGTTGAGGTTTGCAGATTCTCGTGCAGCATGACGATGAAGGTGTGGTCCATGTGCAGATATATCCTGTGCAGGCCACGACGAAGCCATCGCATGAGTGGGTCGAGGATCCCGAATGGGGCGACGAGGCATGGGTTGTGCCCTATATAAGAGCACTGTCGTTTTTATAGGTTTGTGAGAGTGTGTACAGATTCCTACGCAGGCCACGAAGAATCAGTTGGAAGAGCATGAAGAAGATGAGGCATATGGGTCGGGAGCAATAATTAATAGAAGGTTGGGGTTCGCATATGAAGTCCTATATACGCTTGCAGGCCATGAAGCCATGGGCTGAGTGGGTCGAGGATCCCGCTGAAAGGGGCGACGAGGCATGGGTTGGACTGTGTGTGTGTGTGTGTGTGTGGCCCTTTATACGCAAATGTCTGTGCAGGCCACAAAGGCATCGGATGAGTGGGTCGAGGATCCCGCTGAAGGGGGCGATCAGGCATGGGTTCGGCTTTCTGTGTGGTCCTCTATAGGTTCGCATTAATTTCTGTGCAGGCCACGAAGGCATCGGATGAGTGGGTGGATCCCGCTGGAAGGGGCGATGAGGCATTGGTTCGGCTTTCTGTGTGGTCCTTTAAGCTCGTAAATTTCTGTGCAGGCCACGAAGGCATCGGATGAGTGGGTCGAGGATCCCGCTGGAAGGGACGATGAGGCATGGGTTCGGCTGTCTGGGTGGTCCTTTAGGTTCGCATTAATTTCTGTGCAGGCCACGAAGGCATCGGATGAGTGGGTCCATCCCACTGGAAGGGGCGATGAGGCATGGGTTCGGCTTTCTGGGTGGTCCTTTAGGTTCGCATTAATTTCTGTGCAGGCCACGAAGGCATCGGATGAGGGGGTCCAGGATCCCGCCGAAAGGGGCGATGAGGCATGGGTTCGGCTTTCTGTGTGGTCCTTTAAGCTCGCAAATTTCTGTGCAGGCCACGAAACCATCGGATGAGTGGGTCCAGGATCCCGCCGAAAGGGGTGATGAGGCATGGTTTGCAGGGGACTGACAAAGGTGTTGCATGTCGATCTATACAAATACATGTATAATATATATATATATATATATATATATATATATATATGTATATATATATATATATATTATATACATGTATTTGTAGATATGTATAGGTACGTATATACGGATCCGTATATACTATAAATATAGAAATATATAAATATAGAACAAAATAATCGGTCGCAGGCCACGGCGAAGACACACGACTATGTCGAGATAACATCGGACGAGGAGGGTCGAGGGCGATCTGTGTGTATATTCATGTACACCTACAACTATATTTATTTTTTTAGATCCTGCGTTTTTGTCAGGACGCCGGAGCATACGACTGGTCGTCTGATGGCCAGCCCTGGCTACAGTGGGACGCTGGCGATGCATTTTGATATAGGGGTGCGAGTTTAGTATACCGGCACGCCATATTTTCGCATCTCATGTCCAGGAACCATCAAGCAGCAGTGATCAGTGGCACGGCGGCGATTACCCCGAGGATGCACCAGCCAAGGCCGGTGAAGAAACCCGCATTCAATGCAGAGGTTCTAGTTAACATGCTGAGCTGATAGGCTCTCCTGAAAGAAATGGACAGTTTGATTGAAACCTGCGAGACAGCCGCTCGTTTCCGAATAACATGTGTCTGTCTTCAAATTGCAACAGTCATTTATCGCAGGCCAAGAGGAAAGCATCCGAGAACGCTCGGGTGCACCAG